AGTTTGAAAACACTTTTGGTGTTCCCAGAAACTCACTAATGATAAAACTACTACTATAGAAATCTCTGTTGAATTGTGTTGTATCCTCTGTTAAAATAAATACTCAGAAATATAACTCAACAACTGTAGAATTGGCATTTAGTGCATTCTTTTTTAATTCTTAGCATCAAATAATTTCCTACTACTGAGAACCGTCCCACCAACACTAAATTCAAATTTTAGAGTGTTCAACTATATCTACATCCCTGTTACAAAATGGAAGCAGCAACCTACTAACATTATAGTATAAAGCATCTGGACGCATTTGAGCTGGAACTGTCTTTGAGAATGTAGGCATTCTCGAGTAAACAAATCAACAATACAGTGTGTACGGAAAGACATTTAATCGATAGCATTTAAATATGAAAATTGTGAAATCTAGATTTCTACCACTATATAAAGAATAGTTAAAAGGCTCATATACTTCTGAGAAAGATTTGAAATGTTGTCTGGGATACATTTTTCAAATAATTTAGAATTCATTTCCACTAGTGAAATATGTATATTTTTATCTTGATTATACAAAATATCAAAAGAAAAACAATTGACGAAACAATGAATGACGAAGTTATAACTAGTGAAGAGGTACAAATACCAATAAAAAAATTTTAAAATCAGAAAATAACCAGGAACTGAGAATAGATCTACAACTGACGTGATCTTCATATTACAACTTTTAGAGAAATCCATAGAGTTCAACAAAGCTCTTTTCCTGTGCTTTTTTGTAGATCTCACAAAAGCATATGGCACAGTCCAACTGAAAGAAGTAATCCAAGCCAACTACAAAACAATACATAAGAAATTTAACAATATTATTGGGTAAAAAGCTGGTAGAAATAAAACCTCGCTTTAATAAAAGTAACAAAAAAACAAAACAACAAAAAAAAAGGTTCAAACACAAAGGTTTTATTAGATACCATGAATAAAAATCAATGTTTAAAAAAACTAAAAGCTTGAATCACTCTTGAATTATTAAGTTCTCAATTATTAACTATTTTCAATCAATATTATAATTATTTTATAGAAAGAACAATTTCTACAGGATATAAACAGAGATTGGAATGTATGTACATGAATTTTGATATAGTACAGGACAAGATGTAGTGGTTTTTATGGCAATGACTTTGTATAGTTTTATAACTATAGATTTGGACAACAAAATGTAAAAAGAACAGGTTTATAGTTGTAAAAAGATTTAGAAGTCGAACTATATCTTGACTTGTACTACACAATGGGAAATAATAAAGAACAAACTTGTCTTAAACTGTTGCAATTTTAAAACAATATATTAATAAGATCTGAGAAAGTAATTATAAGCAAAATAGGGTTAGTAGTATAGAAAAATATGTGTATATATCAAAACAGATTGAATATATATTTGTCTCTGCATGCATTCCGTTTTAAACACACATAAAGCAATTTTATTTATAAAAATTCAATTAAAACACCCTATTCCTGGTGAAGAATATAAAGTGTTACTGTTTTTTACAACTTGTCTACAGCAATTAAAAATGATTATAAACTCCCGAGTAAAAATTGGAAAATATACGAGAATACAATCAAAAATAAAAATTTCCATACGTATAAAACCCAAAAACGGTCCAATATACTCATAAAAAAGAAATAAAAGGTGCATTAAAACATTTTCGACAAAATTACAGAGGGGTATTTGTGAATACTTGTTAATTTATGAGGGGATTCTTCGTCATACATTCTATTATAAGTAAAAAATTTGTAGATGGTGTTTAAAATCATATTGATAGTATACAGCTGCCGCTGTTTGCTTTATCTCAGTCTTATTCTCCTTTTTCCTATTAACCAAAGCATCATCTTCAAATTTCTTTACTTATAATGATTTAGTTTTGTGATTTTTTTTTCACAATTATACTAACGATACAGCCCAAAACGAGTTTTTCGTTTTTTATGTATTTTGTAATGTTTCTATTTCACTTGATCTACTTGCCGCTTCATAATGGTAACCAAATAAGTATTGTATGACTAACCTAACATAACCTAAAAGTTTACCATTATATTCGCGATAGCCAATTCCGACAGGAGGCGCTGAAGATTTTAAAGATGGACGATAACTTCGGGAAAACAAATCATTTTGTGATTTAATCTCTAAGGTATAAAACGTTTAATATAAATCATTTACACGTGTGTTTTGCCAAAGTAAAAGTTGGAGTACGTTCTTCAAAGTTTATTTGTTTGTGATTCGAGTTTATACATAAGATAATTGACTCCCAAATCTGAATAAAAATAAAATTAAATGTTTGTTTTTCTACAGTATGTCTGAAACACGGGAAGTAAAATTTACATTATCTTAATTATTTATATGATTTCAAGATCGGCAGAGATCTTTAGTTGAGGGGTGAGGCAGTTTTTGGAGCTGGCCACGTTATATTTTGTAAATTACGCCTTACGTTTTCTACTAATAACTTCATGAGACCGTTGGGGCAATTTAGCTGATGGAACAGCATTTTTCTTCAGTCTTTTTAATTTAGTTTCAGGTGTTACTATAAAGTAAATTAAGTATAAATATATTAAAATAAAAATAATATTTTAATCAACACTTGGAAAGTAATTGTTCTCAGTAAAATGTAAACTGCACACAGTTACGTACTTGGTTATATGTTTGCCAATTCACAAAAGGCATTGCCAAACTTTTCTCATATTCTCGTCCAGCGGAAACTTATGTATGGAATTTTTTTTGTGAATTATAATAGAATGAACATTGAGGAACACTGCAATAATTTTTTGAAGTCGAAGTTATTGTTAATTACAATATAAACCGGTCGCTAATATGTATACAAAATAATGACAATTTCAATATTTTCCCGAAGTTGATGCTTTTGAAATCTACCACCAGGCGTCGCCCACTTTGCGGTTCCTCGCCAATATTCAACTATTACATCAACTTTTCAAATTACTTTTGAACTGATTGACGATGATTATACGATATAATGCTAAGTAATACTCTAAAATGCAATCAAACGCACAAAATTGACAAAATTTGAGACAAAACTGAGCAAATCTTTGAAATATGAATTAATGTATTATACGAGGACTGAATATTAAGTTAAAAGACTGTTGGAAATGCATACCTAAGTCGCAATGAACGACAGAGCTTAAGCAATAAAACACTGAAAACATTTATTTTCAACACTTCCACAAATGGGGGGAAAGTGCGTAATTTTTTATCTGTGTTTCTGTTATTGACAGACTTTTTATGTTCTGCCATCCGTTTGTTAAAGGTTCTAGCCGTTTGGCCGATGTAAGTTTTTAGGCAGTCGCCACGTTTGTATGCCCCACTGTGTATACAATAGACTATTTTAAAATACAGAAGATAAGCTTTCTTTTTATTGGTAATGCATATACCTAATTGTACAAGAAAAAATGTTATGAGAAATTTAAAAAATAGCAGTAAAAGCAAAAAATCATTAAAAGTAGAAAACTTTGAAAAACCGTATCTTGCTTGAAAGTAGACCTAGAAGCTTCTACAATAGACCATTTTAAAGGTAATTGAGTTTTTTTTCTATTAAATGTACCATTACATATAACTAGAGGTGCGTAGAAAAGTTATAGAACAATATTTGTGAAAAAATAGGGAAAATCACCCAAAAATAGAGTGAGTGGCGATCTTTGAAAAATCGTATCTCGAATACTGTAAATGCTAAATATTTCTACCAAACGTCATTTTGAACAAAAAGAATAGATGTTTTTTTCTGTGAAGCAATGCCTATAATTACACCCTCGAAAAGTTATGGCGCAAAAAAATGCGTGTTTTAGTGTTTTTTGCTTCGTTTTTGAATAATTTTGCCAAAAAAATATTTTTGACTTTAAAATGTAACATTCCAATAGGAAATATGTAAGAAAAGTGCATAAGAATTCACCCAAATGCACTCTAGTGCATAGGGACTAATTCACCATTACTCAAAAACGTACCCCTTTAAATGGTAGCACTCTGTGGGTTTCTTATATTTGGGGGTCCATTGACCATACGAAACAATAAAACCCCTTTAACATTAGGTTTTCTTCTGTTTTTCGTAGCACAAATTAGACATAAAACGTGGCATCATATGTGACATTTGACATAAAACGTGATAGTTATATGATATAATCTATATATTATGTCAAATGTCACATTTTATGTCAAATGTCACGTTTTATATCAAAAGTCACGTTTTATGTCAAATGTCACATTTAATGTCAAATGTCACGTTTTATGTAAAGTATTACGTGTCACTCAACTCAGAAAAGAGCCAAAAAGACCAGAATGAATTTTAGCGATTTCTTATGGGATTTAACATGGGAAATGAGACTATATTGTCGGAACTATAGAGGAATATCGTTAATCTATGCAACGTACAAAATTATATCCATAATACTGTCTAGAAGACTAACTCCATACGCAGAGGAAATAATAGGCGACTACCAAAGCGGATTCAGACCGGGAAGGTCGACCATAGACCAGGTATTCGTCCTACGCCAGGTGTTGGAAAAAACTGGAAATTCAAGCGCGATGTACACCAAATCTTCGTGTATTTTAAACAAGCTTATGATTCTGTTAGAAAAGCATTGTGGGAGACCATGATAGAAATGGGAGTAACCTGGAAAGATGGTACAATTAGCACAGAGAAAGGTTCCGCAGGATTAGAATTGGCAGCACCACGTCGGAGGAATTCCTCATTGACACCGGGCTTAGATAAGGAGATTGCCTAAAACGTAACAATCAATGAATACAACTTTGAAGTCGCCAAAGAATTCAAGTACCTGGGAGCGATCATAACATCTGAAAATAAATATGAAAAGAACGTGGCAGCCAGGATCATTGCAGGAAACAGGGCATATTACTCATTAATGACCGTACTTAAATCAAAAATACTCTTAATATCAGCAAAAATAAGGGTGTATAAGACAATAATTCGTCCCACAATAACGTATGAAAGTGAGACATGGACCATGAACCAGCGGGAAAGGACAAAATTACTGATACAGTTTTTAATTAAACATCTAATGGAAAAAGAGAAGCTTTTACTTCTTTCAACCTCCCCCCCCCCGTGTTTTTTTAAATTTATTTATGATTAATTCCCGTAAATACCAAGTTTAATGTAGTTATAATACTATGAAATTCAGTTGAAGGCTCGTACAAGCACCATGGCTTGTATTAGATAAAAAAAAGTTGGAAACACCTATCATAGGACCTGGATCTGTTGTTAAAAAGAAGGATGGATAGCAAGTGTAATATTCTGTATTTTGCGAAATATGCAAATTGTTCAGTAATAATTCAATAAGAAAGTTTTGTTGGCGGTTTTGTGTTAAGAAGGTGACAAAACCTATTTAAGTATACTATGTATAGGTTCTTTCATTAATTTGATATTTCTTTCGGTTGTTTACTGATAGTGTCCGAAATAATTTTATAATTGGTTTATTAACTGCAGGTAAATTATGTTTTCTTATTGTGACGGTGTCAAATATAATAGGTTGTATTTAGACTAGTAGTAAATATGACTATTCTTCAATCATTTGTATACGTATTAATATTATTAATATTTTTCATCAACAAAAATGATGCATTTTTGGCCTTAGTATACAAAAGATGATAGTTTTTTTATTCTGTATCACATCTAACCCTATGTAGTTTTGTCGAGAAACAATTTCATATAAAACACTGGTCCCGTAAAGGAACATTAACCGTGGTTGGGTAACAATCAAATTTCTTTATCAAAATCAACCGTACCGTGTGTGATAGTCTTAAGCAAACGTCTATACTGACAATTATAAAATATGTAGAATACGACACTGAAAAAAACAACTACTACTATGAAAGCACACACCATTTATACCTGCGTAGACTATTGACTATTTATAAATATGTTAAATATATAATCTCTATACTCTATACAACATTATTCATAATTTATTTATACAAATGTTCCCTTTTTGCAACAATATGTATAAGTAGGTATCAAATTTAGACAATAAATATGTGTTTCGGGCTCTGATTTCTCAAAGAAACTTCAGATAAAAGTCAACGTAAAATGTTCATATCCCTCAGAACCCTGTAGTCTTTTGTTTTTGATTATTTGAACAATAAATAAAGTTTGGGACGTCTCCTGGCATCTCGATTACAAACACAAATAACAAAAAATAAAAATAGAAAATCATCAACAATTCTAACAGGAAAAATAATAAAGAACTTAAGTAGGATTTTTCATAATACGCTTTTGCCTAAAGTCGTACACTCGTCGGCAGAAGAATACCATCTCGGGAGATACTAGAGTCATGGGAGGTTGCCTGTGAGATCTTGGATATGGTTCCGGGTTGGGAATGCATGGTAGGACTTCCTCTATTCCCGCCTCGATGCGTTTGTACGTCTTGCGGTATCTGAAACATAAACACAAATAACTTATCTTTAAATTCGAAATACAGTATTGTGCGAATTAATGGAATCACTGTGAATTTTTTTTTCATTTTTTCAATATTCACAAGAAAATATTTTGGGGATGTTTTTCATACATGGGCGTTGGATCTTTGGTGCCAATTAAAGGCATGATGAACAGCCAAAAATACAAATCCATGTTGGAAAAGTATTTGGACAAACAACTCCAAAAATGTCAACCCCAAGGGTAGCGATTCTTCAACAGGACTCTGCTCCCTGTCACAAATCAAAGGAAATGATGGCAATTTTTCAAAAATAAGAAGATTAATGTTTTATATTGGCCCGGTAATTCGCCCGACCTCAACCCCATTGAAAATTTATTTGCAAATTTGCAAAGCTAGACTGCGAAAAATCGACTGTACTACTAAAACAAAAATGATAGAAGCGGCCATTCAGGTTTGGTATCGAGAGTGAAATGGAATTTGGAATCTATGCCAAAACGGGTAAAAGCAGTAATTGCTGCCAAAGGGGGACATATTTCCTACTGAATGATGTAATTTTACCTTTATAGTTTTGTCAAAATATAATTTTTTACTAAATAAACTGTTTTTTCATTAAAACAGCCTATGATTCCATTAATTCGCACAATACTGTAAGTACCAACATGTATCTGTAGTAGTTCTTAAGGACCTAACATTGGAATTAAAGCGATCAATGCTGGAAGTCTTTATTACACAAAAACAAACTGTAGTAGTGTTATTTACAGGTACAAGATTGATATATAAAAAATTGGAGAGAATTGTTTTACAAATTAAAATGGAACAAACTCTCCAGAACGTCGTTAACTGTTTCGTCTTTTAATAACTATGAATCGGCAATATTTCCGGGTGTGACAATATTACGTAAACTCTTTTCAGGCCAAAGCTACAATACTGGGCACTGGCTAATAAAAAGATTGCAATATCGAATCGCAAACTTTACGCATTCCAATTCCAAATACCGACTGCCTCTAATCTTGCCGGCCAACATCTATATCATATTACGTCTCACATATCTCCCTTTTCCCCTCAAGAGCGTCTGGTGTCACGTTATATTTTGCAGTGGCATTACTAACGAAAAATAGTATTAATTACTATTAAACTGGGAATAAGCCACAATTAAAGATAAAAACTACGTTTATTGACGTTTCAATTTCCACTTCGCAAATCGTTCTCAAAATACAAACAGTAAATTAAACAAATTTTGTTTTTTGTTACATAGTGAAAAATTCTTCTAATAATTTAATTTTATCTGACTCATTTATATTGACAATTCAGACATACATTATGCATTTTAAAGTAGACGACTTTAAAATGATATTGCCAATATTGTTGAGTTGCGCTCCTGGGACGACTTTACTTATAAGATAGTTCATTCGATTACATGAAATCAACTTTAACTTGAGAATATCCGTCAGAAAAAATCATAGCATGTAATTCGTTTTAAAAAGACAAACACATGACATGATGACAGTAAAATTCTCCTGTTAGTGATTCCATAGTAAATTATGAGGGAAAAACCAGGAAAAAAACCTCATAATACTATCCCGACATTGTAAGTATTTGTTCGTGAATTTAGTTTACCTTCAACAAACATCAAAATTCTGATTTTATATGTTACGTTATTTAAAAACACATAAATGATGTATCCTCTATATGTTACTGACTTACTAATACTGGTATTTTCTTATTAATAACTTCCTCTTTCAATATTGGTAACCAGATCCTACTACATCCTACTAAATTCCTCGGCACAATGGAGTAGGATCTGGTTACCAATATTGAAAGAGGAAGTTATTAATAAGAAAATGCCAGTATTAGTAAGTCAGTAACATATAGAGGATACATCATTTATGTGTTTTAAATAACGTAACATATAAAATCAGAATTTTGATGTTTGTTGAAGGTAAACTAAATTCACGAATAAATACTTACAATGTCGGGATAGTATTATGAGGTTTTTTTCCTGGTTTTTCCCTCATAATTTACTATGGAATCACTAACAGGAGAATTTTACTGTCATCATGTCATGTGTTTGTCTTTTTAAAGACGAATTACATGCTATGATTTTTTTCTGACGGATATTCTCAAGTTAAAGTTGATTTCATGTAATCGAATGAACTATCTTATAAGTAAAGTCGTCCCAGGAGCGCAACTCAACAATATTGGCAATATCATTTTAAAGTCGTCTACTTTAAAATGCATAATGTATGTCTGAATTGTCAATATAAATGAGTCAGATAAAATTAAATTATTAGAAGAATTTTTCACTATGTAACAAAAAACAAAATTTGTTTAATTTGTTTAATGATTAATACTTTTGTTGGAGATGAGGTAGAGGTAGAGGAAAAGTTACGATTTCGGTCAATTTGCATTCTTAGTTTGATTGCTAAATTGTACGAACAGCATATAAAAGGCCGCCTTGGGCGAGAGCTAGAAGAAAAGCATGCACTGAGCGACGGCCAATATGGTTTTAAGACCAAAGGTAAACCATAGATGCGGTCACACAAGTAACCTCTTTAGTCACGCAGGATACAGAGATGGATGGCTCTCCTGCTCGACTTCAAAAATGTCTTTAATACGGCATCATGGGAAAAAATCATGTCCAGGCTGAAAGAATTGGGCGTCAGTGAGTACCTGGTCAACGTAATTGACAGATACTTTACTGACAGATTCATAAGAGAACAAGATACCAGCATCAGCTTGTCGCAAAGTGTTCCGCGAGGTTCAGTACTAGGTCCCATCCTGTGGAATGTCCTGTACGACGGGGTGTTGAGGCTACAGATGCCAAGGGGATGTACTCTTGAAACTTATGCGATGATCTCGCACTGTCGGAAGGTCTAAGGTTTGGAGTACAAATCCAAAAGACAGTAGAGAAGGCGAACCGAAATCTGAAGGCATTGATACAGCTGATGCCAAACATTGGAGGTCCAGGAAGCACCAAAAGAAAGGTGCTAAATGGAGTTTTCCAGTCGGTGGTAACCTACGCTGCCCCCGTATGGTGTGGTGTACTAACCACTGCGAAATACGCTAAGCTGATGGAGACTTCGCAAAGCGAATGCTCCTCAGGGTATCTAGCGCATATAGCACAGTTTCAAATGAGGCTTTATATGTCATTGGAGCGATGATACCGATCGTTTTATTGTGTAAAGAGCGAAGCGAGGTATTATGCGACGAGGATTGATGTAAATATAGATGAGAATGAGAGAGAAAGAACGATAGTAGAGTGGCAAAGAATGGCAATGATAGTGGAAAGGCAAGGTGGATGAAGGAGCTCATTCCCGATCTGAGACCGTGGTGGGAAATGTAAGTTCAGGAAACTAGACTACTTCCTGACGCAGTTTCTGACCGGACAGGGTAGTTTTGGCACCTTCACAAATAGAATTGTGCAAATCTATCTCGGTCAGACTGTACTTTTCTCTTTCTTTGCAATGCAACATCTGATGAAGTCGAAACTTCTTTCACGAGGTGCAAAGATCCGGATATAGAAGACCATAATACAACCAACAGTCGCGTATGGAAGCGAAACATGGACGATAACAAAGAGAGAAGTAAATAAATTGCTGGTATGGGAACGTAAAATTCTTCGAATGATATATATGGCCCTTGCAGAGACAAATAAAATGGAGGGGCAGATACAATAACGAGCTAGAGTCTCTATTCGGAAAAGAAAATCTAGTCAGATATATAAAGGCCAATAGACTCAGATGGGCAGGACATGTGATACGCAGTAACGACAATCGCCTTATAAACAATGTGTTCTGGGAAAGGCCAGATGGAAGAAGGTCTGTAGGGCGGCCTAGAAAAAGGTGGAAAAATGCAGTCAGAGAAGATCTAGAGAAGATGGGAGGGCGACAACGGAAATTACTGGCACAGGACCGACAAACATGGAAAGGCAATAGTAAACGCGGCAAAGACTCCCGAAGAGTTGTAGCGCCATTGATGATGATGATGACACAAAACAATCTATGAAAAGATTTAACCGTTCTAATCTACAGCAACACTCTATATACCTAGCGAGAGATCAAAATGAAGACAATTTTAAAGATAAACGCTGTTCCTTTTTCGCGCCAAACGTCTCGCTTTTTATTGAAGCCACTTTGATTCGAAACGGTTCTCTGTGTTTAACAGTGCATGAGGACTGAAACTCACACTATTTGACAAAAATTTAAGCCCTAATTAACTCGAGATTAGCTCACTTTTGTGCCAATAAACGCTGCGTAGAGATACCTGCAAGTTGCTTCACACTCCCATCCTGCAGAATTACATCAGGTTATCAAAATTCGATAACAAGATCTAAAATACTAACAAACAAGGAACGAAGAAATGCACAATGTTAAAAGAACTTTAAAAAAGAGTCAAAAATGTACAGAAATCACACAGAAAAATCAAAGACCCGTTTTGGATTAGATTTGATTGAACATAACTTACCTGCAGTACTCGTTAAAAGTCAGAACATAACATTTGTCATCAATGCACGCCACGCTATTCGAATCCTTGTGCCTCGAAGCGAATACTTCGTCTGGTCGATCAGCTGGTAGCCTACCTTGCTCCGTATGTTCTGGTCGATAGTACCATAAAAGTGACATCATCATCTCACCTAAAAAATAGTAAAATTATTATATTGAGCTATAGAAAACAAGTTTAATTTAAGAAGGCCATGGAATCAATTATTCCTGAGGAAGAAGGCTCAGTAGTATTTAATAAGCATGTTGAATTACATGGCATTATCAATGTTAAGTTTGGTTAACACGTTAAACGCCACAATGCATAGTAAAAAAAGTGGAGTAGGCCAAAATATTCTTCTTTTCCTTGTAGTGCCTATCCGTTTCGGATCTTGGCGACACCATCATGGCAATCTGTATTTTGCAAACTGCTGCTCAAAAGATTTTTGGTTGTTGTGCTGAACCACGAACGTAGATTTTTCAGCCAGAAAATCCTTCGCCTCCCTGGTCCTTGTATTCTTTCTACTTTTTCTTGAATTAATTGCAGCAACCTATATCTTTCGCTGTTCCTCATGATGTGACCGAAGTATTCAATTTTGACTGCTTTTTATTTTGGTTAACAACTCTTTTTCTTTTTGCATTCTTAATAAAACGTCCTGGTTAGTAACGTGGTCGGTATAGGATCTCTTTAGAATTCTACGATAAAGCCACATTTCGAAAGCCAAAATATTAAACACATTTAAAGTATTAGTTTATGCATTTTAAATTGTTATTCTTCAATTTGAGCACAAAATATTACATTGTTATTGTTTTTTTCGAATTATTTAAATTGGGAAGCATCGTACGCATCTCGTGGTCACAAGTAATATTTGGATTACCATTTGGATAATAGTAACTTGTCGTAACTTGTTTATTTTATACGTTGCATTCGCTATGTGAGTTAGTTGTCGGTGGGTGAGGTCATTAAGTTCAGTATATGAGATGCTCGTGTCTGTTAACGTGTTAAGCTTTTATTGTCTATAAATATTACTTCTATGAAGGGTGTTCACGAACAAAAGATATTTTAAGAAGAGCGGAGCTCTTCTTATGGAACTCATTTTATGTCGCTAAGTTGCCTTATCGAAACATTTTTATTCAAACTATTTGACATAACATTTAACACATTTGATTTGTACTTTGATACTCATGTATCAATGCTTACTTTTTCATTGACTAACCAATTCACTTCTAATTGTGATAGAATGAAGTGCCTTGTGGGAGGACCTTACTTGCCGAATTACGCCTTGTAAGAATTGTAACAGTTCCTTATAATCATGCCTGATAGCCCATGGTAAGATGTCAATAATAACTGTACATGACTCCTATTATCTTAATTTTTGATAAAGAATTCACTTTTATTAGATTTTATTTGGATAAAAACCGTAAGTATTCAGATAAATCGCCATGTTGTAAACGGGAGAATTAAGAAGAATCTCAAAGAACAAATCTTTGTTTTTGAAGGACCAAACCATCGCGCATTCAAACAGTTTTTATATTGGTGGGAATACTCAACTAACAGACAACTTGAATAAATTTTATCTTATATTAATTCACTCATCCTAATTGTCCCATGTCAACAGACAATAAACAAAATATTAGATTAAAAACTGCATAAGAAGGCCCTGATGTTAGTCTTTCCACCAACAGACAAAAAACCCTGTACTTTCTGCTCGATTACATATACAGGTAAGATATCATCAAAGATAATCAAACACATAAAAAAGAAAGGAATAACGCCAGCTTTCAGAAAAATCAACAATTTAAACAAATATATTAAGAACAACAAAAGCCAAAAGAAAAAGCACTTACACAGTGATGTATACAAACTTCATGTGGCGGCTGCCACAAAAATTACATCGGTCAAACGGATAGAACCTTTCAACAAATGGATAGCAGAACACAAAAGGGCTTTTAATGATAGAAAAAACAGATTCTACATACGCACTTCATCTACTAGATCATAATCACTATTTAAATAAACAATTTCAAATTTTTCACATTGAAAATAAAGGCCTTAACCTATCATTATTAGAATCTATGTATATATCTAAAGAGACGTATAACAAATATAACTCACTTGAGAAAGGCACTCTCAAGATAGCTGTAGTGATGATAATTAATTATAAATTTTGTGTAAGTGTTGAAAATAAGTTTTTTGTTTTTATTGCTTGATGAAATACACTTCCATCAAGTAATGGTCGAATCCATCACATATACACAATATTACTTACCGTCTTCTGGATTCTCCCATAAAGAAGCAATTTTGGCTACAAACGGTAGATCATTTTTACGTGGTCCTGCTTTAAGAAGAACGCAGTCTCTAGGAACGATTTTATCACCTCCTCTGTGCCTCATTGCTGGATAGCACGTTCTGTAGACAGTCAATTCGTCGCTCTGAAACATAAAATTTTGCTTAGATTGCACTGTGAATAGACTGCCGGAGTGGTGGCTTAGATTTTATTGACATCTGTCAGTTTTACTTTCCAAAAAAACCTTGTTTAGTATGGATATTTTGTATTTTTCGTTATTTTTTGCATTTTTTTACAGAATATTTCCGCTTTTTGCAATATCTATGTATTCTAATAGTTACTACAATAATTTTACAAGGTTGTGTAAATAATAAAACACGTTGTTTTATAAAAATAGCACTAAAATGCATGTATCAATAAAGTAAGGTTAGAATTTCTTTAATTTAAACTTTTAAACTATATTTCATAGTAATAGAACCCTGAATTATGATGTTATTATCGTAAAAAACACTATAGTTAAAAGAAAAAGTAACAGAGGAAGCAAAATGTTAACTTTATAGAAATTTAAAAGTCTTGAGATTGGGCCTTTCAACTTTGTTTGGAAAGTAATAATAACAATATGGCCGCCGTGACGTCACACTACGGCTGTCCATTGAAAATATAGATTTAACTGTACGCTTGGCATTTTCTCATCTTTTTTTCATCGTCAGAGACATCTGAAATATGCGAAAAACGCTTTTGTAGTGAAAGGAAAATTGAATTGAAGAAAGAGCTGAAAGAACGTGAATACGAAATTCGAAGACGTATTCAACTATAACAATGACTGAACTAAACGGGGTCTGGCGTGATCGTCACATTACTATGACAAACAAGAAGAAAATCGTTTCAACTCTGGTTTTTTCCATGTGATCAATTAAAACAATCACATAGACGACGTATAGACATTTTTGAAATGTGGACATGGAGACGACTGGAGACCTACTTTATCGAAAAATAGTAAGGTAGCCAAGCACATCCAATGTCATAAACATTCACATAAAATTATACAAGTAACAGACACCAGACAAAACGATATTTAAGAAAGGAACTTACATTTAAAAATACTTTTGCTTCATACGGTTCTCCTTCCCACATCCACCCGTTTGACCACTTCGGTATAGTCGAAACTCTTCTGACAATCTTGGCCGCAGGAGGTGGTATTACTTCTTCACTAGATTTGGATTTTCGCCTGGTGTTTTCTGTCGTCTTAGGATTGAGTTTGAGTTTTTTCGACACCACACTTTTATTTGTACTTTTCTTATTTAACACCGGACCGTTCGTTTGAGATTTCGCACACTTTTCCGATTTACCGACGCACTCTTCCTGTGTCCTTATACAAGCATCACTGATCACATTATCTATAACTATATCTACATTACTTCTCGCGGACACTTTCTCGCTTGCTGGTTTAGAACTGCATTTAGAATTGACTTTTTTTAACGATACTGTTTTCTTTTCTTTGGTTTCAGTTGACGGGTTAACTTCTTTTGATTTGAAATTGTTTATTGGAAGCAATTTGGGAACTTTCCGTCGTTTCACTGTCGCTTCATTCTCCATACTGTGCATTCTCTTAAGAGATTTCTTGAGTTTCGCTCTGTTTTGACGAGGTTTCGACATTTCTCCTAAGAGCTTTATTTTACCGTTGTTGATTTTCACTGCGTTTGTATCCTTTTTGATCAATGATTTGTAAGAACCGGTTTTTTGTCTTTTCTTTTGAGGCATTACGATTTCTGGACTAGGTTCCTTGTCGGAGAGCATAGACAGTTTTCGTTTCATGTTTTTCACTTTAACGTTTTCTGCCACTGTGTTTATAACTGGAGGAAGTGGATTAGGCGGTTCTTCCTTTGGTTCTTCTGGGGGAGCTTCTTCCTTTGATGGTAACGAGATTGGTGACTGAGATTCTTCTTTCACTGGTTCATCTTCTTTGAGACACGAATCCTGTAGTAAGTCTATTTCACACGGTTGTACTTCCTTGCCTGAGATTTCTGTTTTTTGTTCAATTTCTGAATCCTTCGGGCTTTCAATCTCCCGTTTAACACAGTTTTGAGATGGATTACACATTAGCAGCATGGTATTTTGCTGCATACTAGCTGCTATATTGTCTCTGACCATCGCTTTGCCAATCCTAGGTTTTCGCTTCTTCTCCGTTTTGCAATCTTCTTGATTTGCCGCCGTACTCGATTCTTGTTTCGTCGAAACTGGGGGCGCTTGGTACGTAGCTCCAGCTGGTGACGGCGGAGGTGGCATTCCCGCTGAACCTCGAGCAGGACTAGGTGGACCCGTTGCACTTGCAGGTTCAAGAGGAAGCATTATAGCGACTGGAGGTAAAGGCATTGAGTCCTTGGAAATTGAAGACATATTAGACCTCTTACAATTACCAGTAAGAGGTCCAGTAAGTACGTTTTTTGGACAGGACTGCATTGGACACGGACAGCTACTCTGGTATGCATCTGAAAGATAAGAAACAAATCTTTAATGCCTTTTTTAACGTATGACACACATTTGCAAATTAACATGGAAATGAAAATAATACAAGTAACATTTAAATGAAAGTAATAAATTTTATTGATCTTACGAGAATCCTAAAAAAGGGAAAAATCGCGCAAAGTTTATTTATTAAACAACTTTATAGAAACTGACTTCATTTGCGGCAAAATACAAAAATTGCATACAAAAGCTGCTCTCTTCACCTTTAAAACGTATTTTGATTTTTGTCGATAGGCCACTCTGATCAAAAGATATCGATCTTTTACGGTCTAGTTGATACAAATTTTATTTAAGATTGATTTCGCGCGCAGAACTGACATTCAAAATCGCCGGTCGCTTCAAGCGTTGTTTTTGAGAGAACGGTTTATTATACGCAAAAAGTGCCAATAAACATTTTTGTTCAAAATTATCTCAGCTACATTTTTTATTTGGAACATTTTTTTACGGCATACAGATTTTTGATAAATCGATTTTTTGCGTTTTTACTCGGTTATATTGATGTGAAAGCTAGCTAATGACGTAGAGCAGGGGTGCTCAAACGGTGGATCGCGATCGACTGGTCGATCGCGAGTGCTTTTTGGGTAGATCTCGAGGAGAAAAAAAAATATTTAATAAGTAGGTAGGTAACTAAACTACTGTCAGCACAGTTAAACGTTTTTATTAATACTGAATTATACAAATACATAGAATGCTTGACTAAGCATCATTGCAATTCAAAGAAGTGGGGACAACAAAATACTGTCCACACAGCATATTTTTATATTTACATATACAAAATAATTATTTTATTAATTCAATATTTATTATAATTATTAATCAATTTTGGGATGATATTCTATCAACTACAAAAATGTATTACGTAATAAAATAACACTGCTTGCGGCAAAAGGTGGCTTTATCAAAGGAACGCGCGGCACTTGTCAAAGAAAAGCCGTGTTGTTTCTAGACGAGAGATAGTACAGTCTAGTTTCGGGCGAGGCGTTTGACGGGAACATTCGAGACTTTCATTCACGCCGATACAAATGTTGCGCCTGCAGGAATTGGAGTTATTCTGAATTGTAACTTGATAGCGATCCTACGTCGATACAAAGTTTATTATTAAATAGTGGAAAATGAGTGCAGTGAAGAAATCTAAAACGTATCATTTTAATAAGGATTGGGAGGAAGAATTTTTCTTTTCTATGGTGAAGGATAAGTGCATTTGTAATATTTGTCGTGCGTCAGTTGCAATACCTAAGCGTGGTAACTTAGAGAAGCATCATAAAACGGTTCGTAAAAACTATGAAAAGGGTTTTCCGCCACAGAGTGAATTAAGAAAACGAAAAGTAAGTGATTTGATATCTTGTTTGAAAAAAGAACAATCCATGTTCACAAGACCAGCCAAACAATCAAAAGCTGCTACGATCGCGTCATTTAAAATATCTCATATTTTGGCGAAACACAAGAAACCATTTGAAGATGGATCGGTGGTGAAGGAAGCATTTCATCAAAACAGAAATCATGTCTGCTATTAGAGAACTTCAGTTATTTCGTCCGACTGTCACAAGGCGTATTGAAGTCATGAGTCAAGACATCGCAGATAAACTAAAACATGATATCATGGAATGTACATACTTTTCTTGAAAGTTCGACGAATCCATCGATATGACAGACACTGCCCAGCTGTGTATTTTTATTCGGATTTTTTTCGATTTCGAATATTCGGATTCGAATTTTTGACAATCATTCCTCTGAAGGGGAAGACCCGTGGCGAAGATATATATGACGTTTTCTTAAATTTTGTAAAAAACTACGAGCTACCAACAAATAAATTAATGTGCATTACAACCGATGGAGCACCAGCAATGACTGGAAACAAAAAACGGTTTTGTGGCATTGTGTCGAGCTAATGAAGAATTCCCTTCATTCTTTTCATTCCATTGCATTATAAATCAACAAGTTTTGTGTTCAAAAGTTTTAAACACGGAGGAAATTATGGGCATTGCAACAAAAATTGTGAATTCCATCCCTGCACGTAGCTTGCAACGGCGGCTCTTTCAGTTGCAGTTGGAAGATAGGGAGTCAGCTGAACACACTGATTTAGTTCTTCACACGGACGTCAGGTGGTTGAGTCGTGGAAAATTCCTAGAAAGGTTTCAAGAATTATTGCCCGAAATAACAGCTTTTCTAGACGAAAGAGGTGATGACACTCAGATTTTGAAAAACTAAAAATGGCTAAATGATTTGGCATTTTTGACTGACATCACAAAACACCGTTAACTTGAAGCTTCAAGGTAAAGAAAAAACTATTATTGAGATGATTAGCGCAGTAAACGCATTCAAAAGTAAATTGCAACTTATGATAGATCAACTGAAAAGAAAGGATCTGAAACATTTTCCGTCTTTGAAAGCAAGGATTCCTCAGTTGAATTATGATACGTATGAGGCTGAATTATCAAATATTTTGGGACAATTCGAAATACGCTTTTATGATTGCAGTAAATTGAAAAATATAGCATCATTTATGAGTTATCCTTTTTCATGTAAAAACATTGAGGAATTAGCTACTGAAATAGCAAGTCAGTTTAATATGAACTCATGTTCTGTTGAAAATGAGTTGGTGCAGATTATATCAGATATACATCTCAAAGCTACAGTATCTGATACAAATTTCTGGCGTTTTATATCTGAAGATAAATATCCGAATGTAAGGCAAATCGCCCTTCAACTGACGGCATTTTTTGGGTCAACTTACTTGTGCGAGTCTGCATTTTCTGAAATGAAGATATATAAGTCAAAATATCGCAATCGCCTAACTGACGATCATATGACATCATGCTTGCGATTAGCACTCAGTGGTTACGTACCATCTTATGAAAAGTATACTGAGGTCATGCAGTGCCACGCTTCAACATCCAAAGCCACTCCTTAGACCATATGTAACTCTTTTGTTTTGTAACAACAAATAAACTCGCAATTTTGAATAACTATGAGTTTTTTCATTGATAATGTAGAGAAGAACCTAACTAAACCTAACCCAAACCTTGACTAAAATAATGTACCTATATTGTGCAGAAAGCTAATATCTATATATGCTACGGTACGCCCTACATAGCTAGGTAGGGTGTATCGTGTATGTACGACAACCCTGCATCACACACACACACTTGCAGTCTCTCAGAGTCGATCGTAAGTAGTCTAAAAATATTGAGGTAGATCGCCAGCAGTTCAAGTTTGAGCACGTAGAAAGAACTAGATTCCAAGCTAGCGAAATGAGATTTCTCAGAAGAATGAAAGGCATTAAAAGACGGAGAGACAAGAACTAAATATCTATCGTATCAGTGAGAAAAAATCAAAAAGAAACCAAATTGGAAATAATATATAAAGCAATTGGATTATTATCGACTAATTAATTACAAATCAAAAATAAGGTGTGTAGGATCAAATGTGTGTGTAGGCAAATGCATAATCACTGGAATGAAGAAGCAGACATGATTATACACACCGGCAGATTCATTCTAGTTGCCATTAATAATCATACAAATAACAAATAAGAATGGAACACTTAAGAAATACTTTCCAGAACGTTCTAATTTAATTAAGAACTACTTACTCGTACGCAATGTTGCTCTACGTGCCATTTTTGAATTAAACCAAAAATCAATAACGGCGAAGAACGAAAAAATATCTTTAAAATGTACCAAAACAACACTTATTATTTGTAACAATCACTCGCCCGAAATAACTACGGTCCGAGAACCCTGGTTGGTTCCGCGAAATCCTCATAAAACGGGTACCAATACGTACTATGAGTAATGTACGTCACAAATCAGAATAATGGCGCTATCGGTAACGCAGACGAGCAACTTCAACTAGCAATAGCAAATACTAAACAACAACTGGATGTCAACATCAGCTCAAGTTTTTCTGGCATTGAATTCTATTCAGTATACACAATTTATACCTGTGAATCACTCCTAATCTTACTTGTGTAAACCTCTTATCTTATCGCCGATTATGCATTTTATTTAAGAAAATAACTTCTGGCGTTATATCAATTTGTTCCGTTATTCGGGGCTAATTGTCTTTTGATTTGTAAGATTATTAACTTACTGGTATTTAATAGATTTTTATTTACGTTTAGGAGAAACACTTAATGCTGCATTGTTTGGTAATTGTTCTTAAAATACCTTTTAGTGTATAGTTTATCGATAATAACGGTGTTTGTGACTTTTTCGAATTTCGAATTGTCGAATTTGGGCTTCTAAACAAATTACGTATTATCAGGTATTGATTTTCAAGAGGTCATTTTTTAAATTAAATACATATAATACATACTTTTTAGGATATATACTTTAACGATGTTTCCTTTAGTCAATAACATTTAAAAGTGTTTGTTGCTTTTATTTGGCGATTGATTTTGTTTGTGTAATTTAATTAGCTTGTAGGTAATTACTTGATATTTTGTATTAAGTTTTATTAATTTGTGTCTTTCGCAGAGTAATATTACGAACAGAATACATCTGCTATATTTAGCACATAGATTGAATATATGGGTAACTCCAAAACAGAAGAACAAGACAAAATCAAGAGGAGTACAAACAGATGAGACAAGCAGAGAAAAAAATACTAAAACAAAAGAAAAAACGACATTTAGAAAACCATCTATAGGAACTAGAAAGGCTCAATTCACAAAGCTAAGCGCGAAAATTTTATAAAAATGTGAACCATAACAGAAAGGAATTTAAACCTAGAATAACCATATAAAAAAGTAAAGAAGCCGAAATTATCAATGAGCCGCATCAAATAGTGGAGAGATGGGCGGAAAATTTTGCTGAGAAATTAAATACAGGCAACCAAGAAGTGACTGACATAAAAGACCACAGTGGAGACGTAGATGATAAGAGGGAGAAAAATAATATAACAACAGAAGAAGAAGTTGCCAAGGCAATAAAAAGGTTAAAAAAACAACAAATCCCTGGAGAAGATGGTATACCTCCTAAGCTGTTCAAGTATGGAGCAAACGCCCTAAAAAGAAGGAAAGAAGAAGAAGAACGAGAGAAGGAAAACTCTCCTTTTCACAAGAAAGGGGATCCACTAATATGTGGATCCCTTTCTTGTGTCTATTTCAATGTATAATGTATGATAATTCTATGTACAATTATCGAGGCATTGTCCTCCTAAATACGGCTTACAAAGTACTGGCTTATATACTTTATGTGGATTCCGAAAAGAAAGGTCAACAATTGATCAGATTTTCCTCCTCAGACAAACCTTAGAAAAGACATATCAATATGGAATTGATACCCACCACCTCTTCATAGATTTTAAAAGCGCTTATGACGGTGTAGACAGAAGCGCACTTTATACTGCCATGGCAGACCTAGATATTCCGTCGTATCTAATAACATTGGTAAAGGCAACTCTTTCGAAAGTTGAGTGCAAAGTCAAGGTACAAAACACAATGTCAAGGTCTTTTCAAATACATACTGGATTACTCCAGGGAAACAATCTATCGTGTCTATTGTTTAACATCGCGCTAGAAGGAGCTATAGAGAAATCGGGCATAACAATCAGAGGTACGATCATCAATAGAAGTGTACAGATATTGGCCTACGCAGATGAGATTGCCATAGTAAGACGGACAAAAAGAAACCTAATACAGGCTTTTGAAACATTAGAAAAAGCCGCGAAGACAATGGAACTGCAGGTCAACGTATCCAAAACAAAATACATGAAGCAGACAGCACACAGATAGCGGCACCACAAGATCTGATGACAAAAGCCCACACATTCGAAGGGGTCTCGGAGTTTTATATATCTTGGAACACAACTAAATAACAGCAACCTAGTAAGCGTAAAAATTAAGAGAAGAATATACCTGGGGGGGAATAGAGACTAATTCTTGAATAGGCCAAGACCCACCCAGGGTTGTAGAGCCAAAGATGATAATGATTGAATAGATAGGTGGAATATTTTAACCAAGCACTTATTACAGAGGAACAAGAAGAATCCCTGGCAGACGGAATGGATGAGGTAAGGGGAACAGACGAGAGGAAAGAGGAATATCAGAGAACCTTGTTATGGGCCTTCCTCTTGTTCTCTGACCAATGGTATATCAACGTAAGACAGTGCTTACACGAGGAATTATTGTTTGAGGCGCAATTTCGTATCGTAGCATTTCTTGACAAATCATGAATGATTAGAACTACATAAGTGTTGTTGAACCCCGCTTGTTAGATCATATCTTCAACAGCTTCCCCTCTCTCTCTCTCTCTCTCACGCTCTCTCTTTTTTCAGTTCTGACCTCCAGGAGGAAGTGTAGTGGTCATCGTGATGTTGTGTATTGTTCGTCTCCAAATATCTCTTAGTTCTACCTTTCCTTGGTTAAAAAGTCTGTCCATGTTTTCTGTGTCTGCTCTCATAACATGTCCAAGGTATTTTAATTGTTAGAGATAGACTTTCCTGGAGAGCCGTGAACAGAATATTTTAGTGGCGCTTATCTTTTTTCTTTCCGCTTATCGTAGGGTCCAAGATTTACGTCCGTATGTAGTTAAAAAACTTAGCTGCTTCCGCAGCTAGAAAACCTACAATCAAAGGACATACAGCAGTAGTCACTACCAAGTTCTGTCGTGACTCAAGTTTTCCCTTCTTTTCCAGCTAACATGCTTCCTGATCATGCATATTTGGGACGCAATTCATCAAGAAGACATTTGGTTATCATGAGAACATCGATCGATTTCCGAAACACATTTATAAGTAAAGAATAAAGAAATTGTTTTGAAACCTTGATCATTTGATGTACTAAATTGTTCTCATGTAGATATACATTATATATAATAATCTATAAATTAAAAATCTATCAACTTACTTATATATGGAATCGATCTCGAAGAGTAGCAAGGAGGTGTTGGTGGTCCATATACTGGTGGCGGGTAGTAATGCGCTGGTGGAGGTGGTTGGTAGCTTTCCACTAGCGTAGTTTGAGGAGGTGCGTAGGTCTCCATTATTGTTGGCGGTGGTGCGCTCGAATACGATGCACCGTTGGCCGATGGAGGAGTGGCTGATACGACCTGAAAAGAAAAAGGCATTTTTTAATTTGTCTGGTTATGTAACTACTACATTCAGAATAGCCATTCATCAATTACTTTTAGTTGCCGCGCTCAATATATGATATTTTTGTTTGTTTGTTCGAAGAAATGAGAAAGAATGCGAAGGAGGATGGGAATGGCAGGAGGGAAAGATGGGAGGTGGCAGAAGAGTTGAAATGTGCTGAGAGAAATTGCGAGAATAATAATATAGACATTATTAGTCTGTAGAAGTAAAACATGGCCTTTTAAAGTAATAAACCGGAAATACCATAACAAATCATTTGATAAGACAGATATTTCTGACAGCAACACACCAATATTTTCCATATATCTGGTATATTATTCTTGTTCTTTCTCCTTATTCTGAGCCGTAGGTAAGGAGTACGGGCTTGATTTTACCATCAAGAAAACAAAGTACATAGTCATCAGTAAGAAGCCTATTCCACCCAGACAATTACTGGTAGATCAGCAACAAATACTCCAAGTGCCCCGTTACTACTATTTAGGAACCACCATAAACGACCAATGGGACCACTCAGTTAGGATAAAACAGAGAATTGAAAAAGCCAGGTCAGCGTTTGTCAGCATGAGCAAGATATTTAAAAGCCACGACCTACCTTAAAAACAAAAATCCGTTTATTGAGATGCTACGTGTTTACAGTGCTGCTCTATGGGGTTGAATCATGGACACTAACCGAGGCATCCATGGGAACACTCGAGGCGTTTGATATGTGGTGTTGTAGACGGATACTGAGGATTTCCTGGGTGGACCGAGTAACAAACATTGAAGTTCTACGTCGGATGGACAAGACATGTGAAATTATATCCACAGTGAAACAGCGCAAGCTAGAATATCTTGGACATATAATGCGAAACGACCATAGATATATCCTGCTCCAACTTATATTACAGGGAAAGGTCTACGGAAAGAGGGGACCAGGAAGAAGAAGAAAATCTTAGCTCCAGAATTTACGAAAATGGTTTTCCTTGACCACTTCAGGACTATTTTGAGCTGCGTCAATAAAGTTAGAATTGCCATGCTAGTTGCCAAAATCCATAACGGATAGGCACCACAAGAAGAAGGTAAGCTATACTCATCAAACCATTTGTAGGCTGCCATGGTAGCTACATTTTTGATGTTTCTTGACCAGAAACGTTCCTTTCTTCCTGGGTTCGGCAACCCTGTACCTTTCCTTGCAAAATTATGTTGGCAATGTAGTATTTTCTTCCCTTAAGCATATGGCCAAGGTAGGGAATTTTTCTTTCCTTGACGATATGGATTAGTTAATCAATGTAGAACCTCAATTAAATCTTCAAAGAGTAACTGAGCATAGTTCTTTGATTTGTTGGATATAATTGCTGGATCCAACATTAACTTTCCGTTTTAATTTAGAGATGTTATAGGTGCTTTTCTTGAGGTGCCAGTAATTTCTTTAATCTCTGTATGAAAATCTACATTGCCATACAGAGTATGCAGGCGCTTGCTTATTTAGATTTGACAATTACCTAGTTCTCTTTAGCTTGTCTGCATTTTAGTTCTGAATAATATTGTTGTTGCTGTTGGCTTTTTGCACTCCTTCTATACTCTACAATACAAATTTCTTCTATCTGGTCGGTCATGCATGATTTTGGTTGATCTGGAGTTTGTTTTTTATATCAGCCTGTTTCAGTTTTCTAACAAACATCTAATTTTGAAGTTCTTTGGAGATTCATTTTAAGTTTACGTAATCGCTAGTACATCTAAGTTAACCCTTCCATTCGTGAAAAAAGTAAAATTAGCATGTTAGTACCATATATCAAATAAAAAACTCTCGATATTTTAGCTGTGTTGCAACAAAACAAACGTCTTAATTTCTGAAATTAAATAATTTTAAGATTGCCCAATTATATTTCTATACATTAACAATTCCGTAATTTAATTTGTATTTAATTATTCACAATTTTCTCTTGTCGTGCGGCCAATTAGAACATGTTGTAAATTAGCCTATTGATATTCAGAACTAATGTCCCTTTCTGTGATAACCATTTCACCTGCTAATTGTGATTGACAGGCGCAGATGTAATGAATTAACGTAGAATGTTCTCATATATGATTCACAGAAATTGTTAATGCCCTTACAACAACAGATTGCTTTACTAATATTGAACTATGATGTAAGTTAAATTTTAACAGCCCATTTGGCCTTGAGTGAATATGTTGGAACTTTTCAAAGAAGCCTTTTTTATTAATGGTTATTGATCTGAGCTGGAATACCTGGCTGGGCAAAAAAATGAAAACCTTCATACTTGTATCATTAATAATACCTATTTAACTATAAATTACCTTTTTTGTTTTCTCTTGGAACTTGTACAATCATTTTATGAAGTTTTACTTAATTACATATTTTTTTATTAACTTATATATTCAGTTTAATAGTAGGACTGGCCGAAAAGTTTGCTTATCAGAAATGCAAAAATAATGATAGTTTAAAATGATGATTGTAACAAAAGTCTTTCAAAAAAATCAATAAGACTTATGCAAAGAGCAATACAATGGACAATGCTCGGTATTAGTCTTAAAATTAGAAAAACAAATAAAGAAATTCGTCAAAGAACCAAAGTTAGAGGTGTTATAACGTATTGCATAACTGAAATAGCAATGTATAGGACATATGTAGTTCGGCAAGAGCAAACCAGATGGACAACTGAATTGGTGCTTTCAAATATCAGAGGGCAGGACAGCATGAAGAAATATAATAACTCATGGGTTTTTTTGTTTTACAAATGATACTTACATCTACTTTCTTAAGTAAAGAAAACATTTAAGATTACCAACTGGAAAAACAAAGCAAAGAACAGAACAGAATGGCGGAAAATCCTAGAACAAGCCAGGACCCAAAAAGGGTTGTCGAATGATGATGACTTACATCTAATTTCTGTTTAAGAAAAGACAAATATATTAAAGGAGCACGACCGATACCATACAACAGTCAAAACAGTTTCCCAGTGACATTTATGAAGAGAATTATGAACTATCGTGGTTACAAAACTTAGAGCAGGAAGTATCAGGTTCTGAAGATGTAGAGAATTCCAGCGATGAAGATGAAACGAAAATACCAAGAACTTTCAAATCGCGATCGAACTTCAAACAATATTGGACATCAATAGCAACCTGTAGATCCTGATAATAGCACTAATGATAAACAGTACACCTTTTAATGATTCTGTTCCGTATTCAGAAGAAATCAAACTACCAGTCCCTTTTTATGTTCATTATTTTTTTGACAATATTGTGCCATTTGTTTAAACAAAGTAACTTATTTGCAACTCAGCAAAATTATAAGAAACCACTAAGGTTAACATGGTCTGAACTCTGAACTCGTTTCACAGTTTTTGAAATTACTATGTCTGTATTGGTCTTGATTTTTAAAAGAAAAAAAATCTAACCAAAAACTTGTTTGCATTGTCTTTTTCATCCTGAGTCCCAGTTTTTATTCATTACGTATAACTTAATGCGCGCTCTGTACAACGCGTGAACTAATGCACGCCATACACACTACGGTTTACCGGAGAGGTCTACCTGTGCAGGCATACCTGCGCAGGTAGACCGGAACGTGTTTGGGAATAGACCTGTGCAGTTTTTTGAACCTGTACAGGCGACCGGAGCAAAATCAAAAATCAATTTTTTCGAGTGACACCGTCCGATGTACCTGTGCGTCTGTGCGTGTACCCCGGCCGCCTGCGCAGGTCGTGTCAGTTGTTTTCTAGTGTTTCTCTGGGAAAGTCGTCTTGTCGTTCGCATCGTATTGTCACACCACTCTTTAATTAACCCTAGAAAATGGTGCCACCAGTTTCAACTAAAAAAAAAACGCTTGACGAATTTATCGAAATTTATAGAATTCATCCATGTCTTTGGAAAATCAAAAACAAAGATTACAATAATCGAGATGAAATAATTGCTGAGAATTTTAAATCCTCATAACTTCTTCCAGTTGCGAGAAATCTCAACGTAACTAATAATCTATCATGTGCAGAAATACTATTTCTCATAACTGTGTCTTTCTTTTTATCATAGGAGTAACCATTTCAAGTAATTTAATGTATGTTTTCTCGTCCATACGGAGATGGTTTTTAAAATCTTCTGGTTCAAATTTGAATTCATTCAATAAGTTAACACGACTGTATATTTTCCTTTTCGACAACCAATACTTACACCACTTTTTTCGCTTATTTTTCACTGTTTTTTTAACTTTTGTCTTTAAAATTAAAACAAGGCCTAAAAATGCCAACGCGTCATCGCTAAGGGAACTGAAGACCGCACCGGTACACCGGTGAGTCCCCATACACGGTACCCCTGTTTCGTTGACCTGTACAGGCATACCTGCACAGGTAGACATCTCCGGTAGACCGTAGTGTGTATGGCGTGCATAAGCGGTACTAACGCGATCGGCCGCTCTGGCAACGCTTGTTGCGGAGGTAACGCGGACTCGCAGATAGCAATATCGTTAGTATAATTTACTCCATGGTTATGGCATTGTCCGGATGGGCCGACGCAGCTCTGCTCACGCGACGGCATTAACGCTAATAGAACAGGGCCCTAAGATGTACCCCATAAGGGCAGTGTCTTTATTCTGTGTTGGTCATCCTCTAATAACGTTCAAGGCTCTATTCGCTCTTGTGCTTCCGGCACACTTATTTTCTTTCCTCAGTTCTTTCTTAGTAAGTGTTTTAAGCAATATTTACTTCACTTGTTTTTAATCTTCTTTGCTCTTTATATATTTCTATCCTCGGGACTTCCAGCCCAAAAGTAATAACCACCAACAGAATACCAAACGAATGGAGGAGAGATATCAAGAGAAGTGGCCAGACAGCTTGGAATTCGTCGTTATGGTCCAAAAGACATACCAACGATTCGTAGAGACTGGATCTCAGGAACGACGACCAGGATCAGGCGCGAGAAGAATCACGACGACCGGAGAAGACCGTTCTTTATAACGTACTTC